GGTTCCAGGGAGATAAGAGCCCTTGATGGCAGTTTGAATAATATCCCTGTCATTGGTTTTCTTACATTAAGCTGAGATGAATACAGTCTCCTTGGAACAAACAGATTGGCCTGACACTTTGGTGGCAACCAAAAGAAACAATAAAAACAGCAAAAACAACACCAGCACTGAGCCTTAATTGTGGCAGGAGAGGTTTAAGCACTTCAAGCTCCTTTGATAAAACTTTTAACATCCTTGAAAAGCCAATATGGATCCAGCTTCTTACTTCCTGGGAAAATTGAGTGTCTTGAGAAAATTACTCTTTTGCTATTGTCTCATTGTCAGAATCTGTTCCAAGCTCACAGTAAATAATTCTCACAAGAAGTGTAGCCAGAATAACATGACACTCGTTCTTTCATAATAATAGAGGGTCATCTTACCCTGGACCACATTGTAATACAACACCTAACTTCTCTGCACTCCCCCAAAGTGAAGTCTCATGATGCAAGAAGTGATTTAAATGCTGGATTTAATTTTGATGGATTTTAAGTAGAATATGTTCTTCAAGAGGTGTGGTTTATTTATTTTTTCCCCGACAAATACTCTTGCCTCCGTATTCCTGAATCTCCTCACATTGCTGAATCTTCTTAGCTCGGGTGGTGGAGAATGGGCCTGAGTTAACATCTGGTGCTTTGGGGTCATTTCCTATAATCCAGTTTCAACTGAAAAGAGCCTTATGTCTGTGCCTTATGGACACAGATACATAACATTTTTTAAAGTCCAAATTGCTCCTTTGATTTCAGTGACAATCCAGTCCTTATGACTATAATCACTTCTTGGGTGATTATAAATACAAAATATCAATATAAAATTTTATATTGGGCCAAGGAGGGGTATTGGAAGCTAGGAAGATCCCACAGATAGGAGGTGACATTACTGGATTTCACACTTTTCTGCTTCAAAGCAGTCATTTTACTTTATTTTTATTTTTAAAAATTAAAAAAAAATTAATTATTATTATTTTTTTTACATTCTGTGATGTTGTAGAGCAGTTGGGAGGGAGGGGGAGAGGGGAAAGGGGAAGGAAATGGGATGGAAGGAGGAGGAAGGGGGAGGGGTGGGATTGAGGCCTGTGGCACCCCCCACATTCCCACAGGGGAGACTAGGGGGCTTCCAGTGGTGGGTTGGTCATTGCCGGGCTGGGTGTAGATGTCAGTGGGGTGTGGCAATAGCCCTGTCCCCCCACCTCATCTCAGGAACCTGGGGCCCTTCTTGCTGAGGCTTGCTGGTCATCACTGGGCTGGTTGAGCGTGGGGGATTGGGGGACGTGGCTGAGACCCTCGGCAACCCACCGCCCCAGCTTGGGGGAGCCCGGGGTGCCTCCTGTGGTGGCTTGGTGGTCGTCACTGGGGTGGTTGCACTTGGGGGTGTGTGGCCGAGGCCCGAGGACCCCATCCTTGGGACTGGTTGCAGGTGTTGGGGGGCATTGCTGAGGCCCCCAGCCCCTCCCCCCTTTCTGGCTTGGTAGCTCAGGGGACTTCCAGTCCTTCGAGGTGTTAAAGATGTTCTTTGGTGAAATGAGACCTTTACTAGTTATCAAACTTTGTCTCTGGTGTGGTTACTTTGTTTTTTCTTTCAGTTCTGTGTTGGAATATTTGCTGTTCCCACCATTTAAACTCTGCTCTGGAACTAATTTGTTAGTTCCTTTGCTAAGTTCCTTTGCTAATTTGTTAGTTCCTAACTAAGTTCCTTTGCTTACTTCTAAAATGGGGGAACTTCCTGTGGGGACCAGCACATGAGCTCTGTGGTTGAGCTAAATTGCTGCTTTGCTGCTGATTCCCTAGGGAAGGCTTTATGTGCAGCTTGGGTTTTAATGGTTGACTTTATAGGTACTTCTGGATCTGGTGAAATCTGGTGCACCTGGGTTGTAGAGAAACACTGGTCTGGGCCTGAGTCTTTTCATCAAACTGCACCCCTTGCAATTCTGTATTTCTGACCAGTCTCCTCTGAGTGGTCCTGCACTGATTGGGGGGCAGATCAGCTGTCCTTTCTGTGTCCCAGCGTTTCCCCAGGTGGGCGTTTCTACCCCACCACCCGTGCTGCAAACACTTCCCACGGAACAGGCTGTGCTCCAGTCCCTTGCAATGACTCACTGGCCTCTGAGTGGCTCCCTTTTTTCAAATGTTGTGGCTCCTTGATCCTCTGTGGGTCCACGGGAACCCTGTTAGTGGTACTGCTGCCCTGGGGGCCAAGGCCCTCTTCTCCCCTGCCGCCTTCAAGCACCTTCAAGCACCTTCATCCAAAAGGCACAGCTGCAGCTTTTGCTGGCTCCTTCAACTTCCTGTGGGGACCAGTACTTGAGCCCTGTGGTTGGGCCAAATTGATGCTTTGCTGCTGATTCCCTGGGAAAGGCTTTTTGTGCAGCTCTGGTTTTAATAGTTGACTTTGTAGGTACTTCTGGATCTGGTGAAATCGGATGCACCTGGATTGTATAGAAACACTGATCTGGGCCGGAGTCTTCTCATAAAACTGCACGCCCTGCAGTTCTGTATTCCTGACCAGTCTCCTCTGAGTGGTCCTGCACTGATTGGGGGCAGATCAGCTGTCCTTGCTGTGCCTCAGTGTTCCCCCAGTGGGCCTCTCTCCCCCACCGCCTGTGCTCCAAACACTTCCCATGGAATGGGCCATGCTCTGGTCGCTTGCAATGACTCACCAGCCTCTAAGTGGCGCTGTTTTTTTACTTGTTGTGGCTCCTTGCTCCTGTGTGGGTCAACAGGAACACTCTTGGAGGTACAGCTGGCCTGGGGGCCACCAAGGCCCTCTTCTTCCCTGCTGCCTCCAAGCAACTCCATCCGAAGGGCACAGCTGCTGCTTTTTGCTGGCTCCTGCTTTGTGCACTCAACAGCTCATGCCTTAAAGTGGCCACAGAACAAAACAGTCAGAGTATTTTTTTCTTTCTCTCACCGTGGCTTCTCCCACCTTCATGCACTCCATAGGTCTCTCCTCCTCTTCCTCTGAGCTCCAGTGGCCCCAGCTTGGCTGTTGTTGCTT